GGGCCCCCCCGCCCCCCCGGCCCTAGAAGGCGGAGAGAGCTCGCGTCTCGCTCGGCTTCAGGGTAGGTTCTGTGTCGTGAGTGAGCTGTGGTATGAAACTTCTCCGAGCTGCAGCCGCGGAGTCCCCGCTGCCCCGGCCCCAGCGGGTGGCAGGTTGGGGGCACAGGGCCGTGCCAAGCGGCCAACAGCGTCCGGAGAGAGAGTTGAGGGACCCAACTGTTCCGAGGGCCTCTCTCGCCTCTCCGCGAGCCCGGGAACCCTCACATCACAGGCCGGCAGAAAAGATTTCTAGGAGCGCCTGCACAGCCGCACCCCTAACTTGGAGCTGAGAAAATGTACAACAGGCACCCTTAGCAGGCTGGCCGCGCCAGGGAGGGGGTGGTGCCGCGCCGAGAAGAAGGCTCTTTTCCTTCGAAAGACCGTGGTGGGGATCCAGAGGACCTGCAAGGGGGGCTTCGTCAGTCCCTTTGGCGCTTGCCACCCCGTTAGAGTTGACTGGTCAGCCCACACTTTGGCTCTCTCCTCCCCTCTGCCCCCACCCGCGTGTCTATGGAGTCTGTTGTGAGTTGCTGTGACAACAGGAGGAGCTGCCATGAGGGGCTTGCAAAACACCTTCCTCTGTCTCTGTGTGCTCAGCTTTCGGGGAAAACAATGGGGGTGGGGGGATTCACAGACAAGGGAATCCAACCTCTCCCCCAAAGAAGTGGAAGGAAGACACACGTTGTAAAAATGTATCATTAGATCCTAGTGTTAGCCGCGCTGTTTCCATCCCCAGCAGTATCAAACATCTCAACTGAGGAGCAATGTCAATATTTTGACTAGGGCAAGCCAGAAAGTTAGAAGGGAGCGCCAGGCGCAGGGTTTTGACTTGGCTTTGCACGTCAGCACACAAGCTGTGCCTTTGGAGCTGACTGTACACATTCGCTGGGATGCGGGGGGTGGGGGACGCATGAAGGTTGACATACACAGAGGCATTTGGATCTGGGAGAATCTATTGTAGAAGTTAAGACTGGAAGAATCGCCCTGACTTTGAACTTCTCCAACCTGGGCTATTCACTGAGCCCCCTGGAATCCCAGACAGATGTCGAGATTGAAGTTTCGCTGGTTCGGGGCTCCCCTACCCCCCAACTGGGACTATGCTAGATATTTTACATTAAACATATTCTAAACTGTAAAACTAGTATTGTTCTGAGTAGTTGTCACCTTTGTGTAAGTCCTCTCGCTGTCAGCAGATAGTGAATAGCCTACAGGCTGTATTTGATCTCCGCAAACCTTGGGCCTTTCTAAACCACTCAGATCAAAATTTGTTTACAAACATTGGGAACTATATTAATTTCCAGTAATCTTGTAGATTCCTAAGAGAGTCATTGGTTGGTAGAAAACACACACACACACACACACACACACACACGAAAGAGCTTTTATCAATATAAACAATGTCTGTATACTGTTCCACAGGTGGAGTGAGTAGTGAATTATTACATTAAGGTTTCCTCTGAGATTCCTGGATAATATCTGGACATATTAGTAAGAAAGTTTGACTAGTTGATCCCAATGTGAAAGTCTTTGAAAATCATTAGAAAGAAATTAAATTGTGGTCAATATTCTTTTAAACTTTTCCATTATTATGATTTTCCCAGATTTTGAAAGTAGCATAAATTTTGAATTTACAGGGCCACATGTGATCATGGAGGTGTAAATAGAAAAATACCTGTGAATAGTTTGATGTTATTGATTCAATAATGACATTAACCATGTAAGTATAATAGGAAAAAAAAATTATTGGTCTCTAAGTTATGATTATACTGCCTAAAAAATGCTATTTGGGGGGTAGTAGCATGGCTGTATTGAAAAATGCCTGTACGGTTTCCATTGTTCCCACCCATCAGTCTGTGGCCACATACTTTTCTTGTATCATCCCCAAATGCCCAGAAATATATTTTCATAAATGTTACAAAATGTTAACCTAGCTATTTCAGGATGCATTTGACCCAAAGAAATGCCACTTTAACATTGGCACTTAGCAAAAGTAAACCAGATTCTGCCCTTTTTCAGGGGGAAAAAGAAAACAGCGTATGTTAAAATTTTTAGTGCTCCCCATGTGTTCCTGACAGGCAAGCGGATTTATAAAGTCTCTCTCTCTTTTATGTAGGTAAGTCCAGCTGTGAGCGGGGTGTTCTGTTCTTCACTTCCAGCAAGCCAGGTCAGTGTCTCCATGCAAACTCATGACCCTAGATTGGTTACATCCCGTGTCTAGTTCTGAGCATGCATTTCAGAACAAGTTTTTTAGACTTTTGTCTTTAAATAATCAGTCTTTTTCTTGTGTGTGTGTGTGTGTGTGTGTGTGTTTAATGGATTTGATTATGAACATCACAAGTGCAATGATTATTGAAATTATTTTATTTAGGAACCAGCAGACAGTGTAATGGTTATGTCTCTGGACTCTCACGTAGTCAACCGTGGTTTGAGTCCCAGACCCAGCAGCTTAAAACTCATGCCAGGCGCATGTACATGTGTGCCCAAAATCTCAAGAAGAGAATGGAAGAGAAGGGATTACAGCACGGCCATTCCCCTGGGGGATGATTTCTCACTTTCTGTCTCCCTGTCTCTCTCTGTCTCTCTGGTGTGTGCACATGCGCCCTATAGCAAAAACATCTCTCTCAAAAGAAAATTGTTTTATTTACTCTGTGAGTAAAATGGTACGAAAATCAGTTTTGAATCAGTTTATCCTTTATATATATATATATTTAACTTGGGCATTAAGAGTTGAGGATACTGGGAATCTGGGTGCTTGATATTGGGGTTTTACTTCTGTCCTAATCTTAGCACTCTAGAACTAGAAGAAACTTGTTATAATAATAGTTGATGTTTATTGAACATGAACCAAAGTTCAAGTAATATGCTGTGTTCTTTACATTTATGTTTTCATTCTGCCTTGAAAAAAAAAATCCCTTTAAGGTGAAATCACTCTCTTGATCCCCTTTTACAGGTGAAGAGTTGGAGGGTCAGAGAAATTAGATATTATGTTCAATTCCTACTTCTAGTAAATAGGACAAAATAAGATATTTTTAAGTTCCATCTTGCTCTAAAACTAGTAAATTCTCTAGCTGAAAAACTCTTTGATTGAAGCCAAGAAAGGTTAAGTGACTTGCCTGTAATGAGACTCAATGGCCCAGCTCTTACAAAAGGATAAATTCCATTTTGTTCTTAAGTGAATAATAAGTCAAAAGTATAAGAAAGTTTTTAGCATGGGTCTCTGGCCTGAAGGATTTTACAAACAGATTTAAAAAGCAAGATATCAAATGTACATGTATGAAAAATTAAAGAATAAATCAAGATAATACATGTCTGAAGGCTGAATTGAGGGTTAGTGGTACATTTATGAGAAGGTTAGCGTTTTCCACTCTGTAAGACTATTTTACAGTTCCATGTATGCATGGGGAAAAAAAATCCCAAGCACATAATAAATGAGTAAGAGTTTAGGAATGGATAGAATGTAGAATTCAACCCAACAGGGAGAGATTATGCAGTCTTCCAGAACCACTAAATTACAGTATCTTAAACTAAAAGATATTATTGATTCAAATACATTGTGACAAAACTGTGAGCTGTTTGAATCTGCACAGCAATTTTAAGAAAGCATATTTTTGGCATGATGCTTAAAAGTACTGAATCCCGGGACCAGCAGATGGTGTAATGGTTATGTCGCTGAACTCCCACATAGTCCACCACAGTTTGAGTCCTGGACCTGACAACTTAAGAACTCATGCCAGGTGAGTAAGGGTGTGTACCCAAGATCCCGAGAGGGGAATGAAAGAGAAGGGATTGTGGCATGGCCATCCGTTCTGGGGCATGATTTCTTGTTGTCTCTCTGTCTGTCTCTGGCGAGCACAAGCACCCTATAGCAAAAATATCTCTAAAAAAAAAAAAGTACTGAATCCCTTCTGGAACCTCAGTTTATTTAAGCTAAATGAAAGTAGAGTTTGGATTTGCACTCAAGTCTGTCTAAGAAATTGAATATACATCTGTTCTAAATGAACTCCTAAAAAAAAAAAATCCCTTTCAACTATTTCACGCCAAGTTACTCTTGTAGATGGTGAATGTAGAAGTTTAATAATTAGTCTTGGCTGTTTGGCTGGGTGGTGTGCTTTTTATATATAACTTGAACTGCATAGCGGTTTTGCCTGGACAAATTTGCTAACTCCTCAGGTCTGTTCTAATAAATTTTGATGGAAGTCACAATCTAAAACAATTGGCTTAGGAGGGTTGGTTCAGGAATCGGAGATACTTAGTCCAATCTCACATAGATGGAAAATGCCGGCACCAGAGAAGCGCTGTAACTTGACCATTCTTTTAGTTAGTAAGTTACACAGCCTGAACTGAACCCAGGCTTCCAAGTTCCAGCCTGGGCTTGGTTCCATTACATAACACTGCCTGAAAAGTGCCAAGTTCTTCTAAACCCTCCAACTTAGCCAAAATTACAACTAGCAAGTACAAAATACATCTGAAACCTAAGGCACATCCAGAAATGGGTGATAAGCGGATTCCAGCAGTGTAAAGATACAGCCGGTACTAGGAGAAATCTCACTTATCTCGCATGGCGCCAAGATAGAATAGTCCTTTCCTCTTACTTAAAACATAACACCCCATACTCTGATACTTTCCAAGCCGTCCTTATTGAGCAATCTACTTGGGACTTTTAGATTGTGACCATGCTTTTTTATTTTTAATTTGCTAGAGGGCATGTGCCCTCACCAAAAAGAGGCAGGGTAGGAATGGGAGGTGAAAAAGCACTCCCCAAGGGGGAAAGGCCATACCACAATCCTCCTCCCCCATTCCCGACTCGGGATTTTGGGTGTACATGTACACGTGCCTGGCATGTTTCTCAAGCCACCTGGTCTGGGACTCAAACCTCACAGTTGGCCATGTGGGATCCAGCCACCTTAACCACGATGCTACCAATTTTGACCAAGCTCTGACTTCTCATTAGCTATGTGACTTGAATCCTTATTAGTTTACTTGACTGTAAACTAGGCTTAATATCACCTCCTTTATGAGGACGTTATGAAATTATGCATATAGAACACACAGTAGGTGCTCGGTAAAGTTTAGTTCTCTTCTTAGCCTTCTTAAAGTATCTTGAAAGAGGAGCCACAGATGCTGTAGTGGTTAAGTCGCTGGACTCCCACATGTCCAACTGAGGCTCAAGTCCTGGACCCAGTAGCTTGAAAAATCACAGTGGGCAAGCATACATGTGTGACCAAAATCCTGAGAGGAGAGTGGAAAAGGGCTTGGAAGCGTGGCCATCCTCCAGGGGGTTGATTTCTCACTCTGTCTTGAGTGAGTGTACACACCCTGTGACAAAAAAACTTTAAAAACATATCTCAAGCGCTATATCCTAGTGTGCTATGTAATCATTTTTTTGCCTCCAAGTTAATTGGAGTTATTTGTATTCTAATATTGCAAGTGATGGTTATAGTAACCTTTTTCTTGAGTTTAAAAAAAAAAAAAACAGGTTCAGTTGTCTCTCTGGATATCAGCAGCTCAGTCACAATTACATTTGTTTTCTTCATGCTTCAGGGTTGCCAGATTTACATGAATTGAATTACCATTTTTTTTTTTTTGCTTTAGTTTCTGCCACAGACTAATAGCAAGCTCCTTTTCTTCCAGACACTGTTTAAGTATCTAACATGTTTTCCACATAGACCTTTGTATCATCTCAAAGCAACGATTATGTTTCAGGCAAATAACTTGGAAATATTTCAGAAAATATTATTGCAAGTAGAAAATATTTGCTTTTTGGGGCCGGCAGGTGGTGTGGTGGCTAAGGGCACTGGACTCTCACAATGTGGACTGTGGTCCGAGTCCTCTCTCTCACTCTAGCCCTCTCTAGTCACATTTTAAAAATAAATAAATAAAATAAAGTTAAATAAAATAATTCTTTAAAAAAAAAAACAAAGAAAATATTTGCTTTTAATTTTGAAACATGTGCGACTTCCCAACCTTCATTTAAATTAACTATAAGGTTGAGTATTTTAGTTGTGTTGGCCCTGTCCTTTTTTTTTTTTTTTTTTTTTTGGTCACATGTTACTGACTGATGCATTGATAAGAAAAGCAACACTACAGTTTCCCTCTTTCGCCCTAAGCACTTGATAACAACACTGGCCTAAATTACATCGCTGGAAGTATTCTGTCACACTCTTCTCCCAGCTGCAACACTTTGTCATATGACACTTGCTGACCTGCTTTGGACTTTGGAACCCAGTCTTTGGCAACAGGTTCTGTTCATCACATACGTGGAGGAATGCAACTGTTGTTGTTGTTTGTTTTTTACTTACTTGTATCTGTTTTTCTTTTTGTAAAATTAAGATTCTAAGTGGCTTCAAATAGACTTTATTTTCCTGGTGGCACAGCTTGCTCTTCAGTATTTGGCAGATGTGTATTGCAAGATGTATGCCTTCAGGTTTAAGGGGGCAGCAAGTATGTGTTTTATAAAGTGACTAATCTAGAGCTAGATGCTTAGAAATCACCAATCGCCGGGTCGTCCCTGACCTTAAAACTAATCTCACACTGGTTATGTGTAAGTTTCAGCTCTTACCAAAGAGTCATCTTTAGAGCAGTGCATACATGTACATATACTTTAATGTGCATACAGGAATGAGTGTCCTGTTACAGTGTAGATTCTGATTCAGAAGTTCTGAGACAGGGCCTGAGATTAAACTTTTCTGGCAAGTTCTCATTGATACCAGTCCTGCTGGTTTAAGCATCACATTTTTTTATTGATACATTATAATTACAATGATCAAATCTGGGTAGTTAGTATATCCATCATTTCGAACATTTATCACAATTTTGTTGGGAACAGTCAAAATCTTCATTTTTAGCCATTCTGAAATATACAATAAGTTGTTAATTATAGTTACTCTATTGTGCTATAGAATGGTAGAACTATTTCTTGTCTACCTGTAATTTTGTATCTATTAACCAACATCTCCCTATCAACCCTTCTCCCTACCTTCCCCAGTCTTCAGTAACTACTCTCTACTTCCATGGGGTCAACATTTTTAGTTTCCATATGTGAGTGAAAGTTTTTCTCCTTCTGTGTCTTGCTTATTTCACTTATTTTAATGTACCTTGGGCCCATCATGTTGCCACAGATACAAGGTTTTATCCTCTTTTATGACTGAATAGTATTCCATTGTA